TGTGGATTTAGCTGAAAATCTTAAAATTAGCACAAAACAGCTAGCTAAAATAGCAGAAATAGCTGAAAATTGCTTAAATAAGCTGAAAGAAGAATAAAAAGTTGAAATTAGCAGAAAGAAGTTCGAAGAATCACAAAGATGTGGTTAGCAGAAAGAATCTGAAAGAAGAACTAAACAGCTGAAAAAACAGCTAAAATTAGCTGAAAAAATGTTTAAATTTGCACAAGGAAGCTGAAAAAAGCTGAAGCAGAACAAAATGTGAAGGGCGCAGTAAAAGGCTGTAAACAGATCTAAAGATGTGAGAGATGTCAAATGAGCTCATTTCATTTTCTATGAGGAAAAAGTGGCAGAAAAGGAGAAATATGTCAAAAAGCTAAAGTTGCACCAATACCAACAGTCATAGCAGGATTGTCCTGAAACAACTGAACGTTTTGCTGAAATAACTTGAAAACTGCGGGACGAGGATCGCACCGAAAAATGGATCACAACAGAATGATTCATAAACAGTAACTCAATAAATAAATCTCTAAATTAACCCATGATTCGCCACATTTGACCACTAGGTGGCAGCAGCGCACAGCTGAAACAATGAATGTTGGACCTGAGGGATCAAAAACTGCGTGTGCTCTACTACATCACGCACGTTTAAGCTTATAAATTCAAAAACAGATCAATTAAAATGTCAATTCAAACCCTGAGAAAAATGGTGCCGCCTCACTTTTACTCCTTGATATTAAGCTGCAGATCCATTCAGCCCAAATAGGCCTGAATGTTTCGATTTTATTTTTATGTTTTGCATGAAATCAAATATTATGGCGGCTCACACCTACAACTGTGTAATGTAGTTTCTTCTTCTTTTTTATTTTATTTTATTTTCGGTCGTATTTATTTCAGGAATGAGCATGAGCGGCAGGAAATGGGATTATTCGACTAACAAAGAAAGCTGCTGGTTCTGCTCATGACCTGCAGCTGAACTGTTGGTGTTTTTTGACAGGACAGCTGAGCTGTTTGTTTTATCTGTAAACTACTACGAGGGTGGGGAAAAAAACATATTTTAAGATGTTTTAATTTGCACCTCTGTTGCCAAATAAACAATCAAATTAATTCTGATGAAGAAAAAATAACCAGCTCTCCTGCCTTTCTCCCACTGAAGCTCAATGAAGAGCAAGACTGCAGTGTAGAAAACAAATACAATTTAATGACCAAAAAAGCAGATAGAAATTGTGCAATTGCTGATTTCATTTCCCTCTTTTGTTTGATCACAGATTTCAGGTCGATAAGATTTTGTTTTGGTTTTATTCTTTCTTTCTTTCTTTTTTTTTGAAGCGTGAGAAACTCAAACTCAGCTGAAGGTTTCCATTTCTTAAAGTGGGCCTCAGTTCCATAAAGGGGAATTATTATATCCCAGTTCTCCAAATAAAAACACAAACGGTGTATTGCTGCGATTGTTCATGGATGACAATATGATAAATATGATAAAAGGTTAGAAAATCAGATCATTCCTGGAATTCATATCTTCTCTTCTCCGATGCTTCAGCTGGATTTGAGTTTCTATTTTCCATCTTTTTTTTTTTTTTATATATATATATGTTAAAATTCAGTCAGAGAATAAATCTCCAACTCCTGGTGGAGTTTTATAAAATTCCACTCATCAGGTAAATCACAGGATTTAAAGGTGGCACGAGGACAGCGTGTCTGTGTTTGTGCTTTGGCACAGACTGACAAAACAAACAAACAAACAAAACAAAACAACAACGAAAACCCTGAAGATGGATCCCACGGGTCATCTTCACAGTCACAGAGCCACTGAGGCCGGAGCTGGTACCGAGAGAAGGTCCATAAAATGAACATGATTATTATTATTGTCTGTAGGAAGGCAAGAATGGACCGGAGCGCTCCCAGAGCTCCGGCCTGACGCTCTCCGGCTCTGTCGTCACAACGTTAAAAAAATAAAAAAATAGAAACAGTAATAATAAAAATAAAAAATAATAATAATGGACAATTTAAAAAAACTAATAATAATAAAATACGCACAAAAAGAAAAACTCAAATCGAATCAAAACACACTTATGGTCATACTATTATTATTATTATTATTATTATTATTATTTTTATTTTGTTAT